CCACTCGGGCCACTCTCTCTCTCTCTCTCTCTCTCTCCGGCGATGCACGATTTACACGTGCGCCACTCGCCATCGCGCGCGCGCTCGCTCGCAAGCTCGCTCTCCCTCAGGTAACAGAAGTACGTAACGCGCTACAAATTGGCTACTGCCCTTCCATCCTCTCGAGCACTACCGGGACTCGTGCCATAAGTCACGGTACTCGTTTCTCGCTCGGCGTTCCTCCTCCTCCGCCCTCACCTTGGGACGAATCACATCTCGAATTCAATTTCGCGGAATGGTCATTACGCCGCAAGTGTTTTCGCGAGAGGCCGCGGACACATAAAAGATACCGAAAGAGAAAGAGCGAGAGCGCCGTCTTCTCGTCTCACGACCTCCCGACTTTTTCCCGATAATTCGATAACTCTAACAAATTGTACTTTAATAAACGCGAGCCCGGCGTATCGCCCGAAATGAATTACCCTTTGTGAGAATTCTCCGATTCGAAGATTACGTCTCGCAAGCTTTTTGTTCGAGAATCTCTCTCTCTCTCTCTCTCTCCCCTTCTGTCTGATCAGTCCGCACATTATACGGATACTACGGGAGATACGGGAGGTCCCTCGCGAGAAAGAGTAGAAATCGGTGGCCGATGCATTAAGAATGTAATCACGCTTAATACGAAATTAATGAAGCGAACGCTCGTTGAAAGAAAATCCGGCTATGAGCACTTTACTTGCCGCCCGACTGTAGCCCGTTTGCATGACCCCCAGACGCTCTTAAAATCGTATTACTATGTCTCGAAGATCTCGAACGGTGTGTTTTAACGCGCTATCCCAGGAAGGCGCGAAAGATATTTTCGTTCTCACGAAATTCTCTCCACGTGAATTCAAGCGCGATTTCCGGGAGGAAATTGTTGCGCCGCGACGCGACACTCGTGGCCATTCGCGGAAGAAAAAATTCATAATGCGCGTCGCGTTAATCACCGCTAAAGGGCGGGGAAGGGGGAAAGTTGGACATCCGTTCGCGATACTAATCCACCTTTGGCGCACTTACTTTTTGCTAGTTAATTTCGAACACTGGGTCCGTGAGAGGATCGAGAAGATTTTCCGTTGCGAGAAAATGTTTTCGCCTTTACTTAAATATCCGGTGATTTAAGATATGACAAAAGACAACGCATTGATTCTACACAGAAAGAAGGAACAAATTTTGCATACTTTAAGAAAAGTATTCTACGTGCAGAGAATTTTTCTCGAAAGTATAAACATTCATGAACCAAAAAAGTACAAAAAGTACCACAGTAGTTTTTCCCGGGTAAGATATCAAAGAAAAATACCAATACTGGTATATCATTTTGTTTTTGGCCCCAAAATTTCCGTCGACAATGTAGAATTAATGTTTATATAAATAAATATAAAGTGGTAATATTATTCTATTAAAATATATTGTAGTTTTCCGAAAATGTTTACATATTGTCTTGTAAACGACTACTTTTTTAAGAAGTTTAGGAAATGACGTTTCGTCAAAATAGATCCCAAAATCGATATATCCATGATATCTACGTAAAAAATTATTAAAAAAAAATTAAATAAAATTACACAATAAATTATTTACCGCTAATTTGTCATTTATTTAGAAATTTAAGAGAAGATAGCTCGAGAAAAATTTCAGCATATCAAAAAGTCAACTAACGTTAATAACGTTAATCAAACACGCTTGCATGATGGAAAGTGTCACTTTAGCTCCACTTATTGCATACGCAGTAGATGAAATGTACTGACAGACTTCAATACTTTATAACCGAGAAGCATGAGTATATCCATTTTCTATACCTGTGTCAGTTTGGTGCTTTTCCTTTACTCATAACATTGAAACAATTTCAGGGCAATATGTAAAATTTAAGGACCGTGTACAATAGCCATAAAATATGTAGTAAAACGCAAGCAGTAAGCTAATTGGCCAACTACAGTCGATTATTCGTGGATTGTAAGAACACATTTGGTCAATTAGCTTACTGCATACTTTACGACTATTGTAGACGGTCCTTTAGAAAGCAACGCAAACAACACACGATTATAATTGCGCATCGTTGCCCAAAAATCATAGTCAACGTTATAAATATAACGAATATTCTGTTTTTCTGCTGTTTTTATAAACGCTCATAAACACAACAGTAATACGTTACACAATTATTATCCAAGATACAATTTTTTCTCATACTGGCAGTAAAATTAACGCAAAATCCAAGCTGCAACGTTGAAAATACATGTATTAATATGTGACAATTTTATATTTCTGATATTTCCTCGTAGGAATGGTAAATTTGTAATTTAGTAAACAACCATGTTAAAAAAAAAATAGAAACATTCGATTTTAATCAATTTGACTATTTCATATGTCAAAGTTCCTAATTTTATTTATCACTTTGTGATCTTATTTGAACGCTCACCCTAACTTACGTTAATGTTAAAATAACTTAAAAAAAATGTAGACCTCCTAAAATAATTATGTTAACTCAAAATAATGTTTCATTTTTAAATAAAACACAAAAATATCAAATTACTAAATTGACATAAATTTAATATATGAAAACATCACGAAAATAATAACATAGGAGCTGTGTGTTAATTCAAGATTTAACCACTGCAAGATCTTTGTTGGCAAGTGATCTTGTTGAACATGTCCTTAACCGGCGCCTGAAGGAAATCAGCGTCGTTCGTTTGCAGCGACCATAGTGTTCGCAGATGTGACACGCCGCGGCACGCTTTCTCTACATATCCTTAATATGCGTATATGTATGTAAACGCGACGCACGTGCGTATCGGTATAATTTAACGTGCAGCACACGGCTGCATTCCAGCATTGGCGGCAGACAGCCGCGAATTGACTCTATCGGATAACGGAAGACCCGAATTAGGCACGGCAAATCACCGCGCATGGATAATTTATCCGTTAACATAATGCCGACTGCCAGCGCTGAGCATAGCGAAACAGCCCGCCTAATTATAATCTATGAAACCTGCGCATTATATCATGCATGAGATTGTGGGCAACGTGACATCGTGAGTCTGTGAAATTTACAAATTGCATCGTAATGGTAATGTAATTTGAAGAGGAGCGCAGAAAGCGATGTATATTCGTAGTCCTTCCAAACAGCATTTCGCGTTTCTCAGAGTGAAGTTACATCTGATAATAATTTTTTCGCGTTGAGGAAAATTAAAGAATGTATCTGACCATCGACTCACAGAGACAATTTCGGTCTAAACGATTGAAACATTTACTCATACAGGAGTCAGAAGGTTTCGACTGGCACTATTCTCGTCGTTGCTTCGAGCGAATCTTCTTCTCGTTTCGAGTGAGATTTCACTTCAAGAAATTCTCAGAGTACTCCAAATTTTTTCACGTGAAATTCCACTCGATAAATAGAGTTATTTGATATTAAGTGATTTTTCACTCATGTCGAGCGAATTCTCCGAGCACGGCGTGGCGTGGCAGACAGCGCACTGATCTGCTATACTAGAGGTTCGAGAGTCCCAGTAAAACCAAAATATTTTCATACACTCGTGTCTCCTCTCCGATGGCAAACCACCGAGAATATATCCTTGTCACGAAAACCTCACTTCAATAATCTGCCGTTCGGAATCGGCGTTAAACTTGGCAGGTCCTATATACTTATGTATAATCTATGTGCGCACCACAAGCATAATATATGCGAGAAAAAATTAGTAAGTCTAGCCCACAAAGGGTTGTAACGCCAAGGAGAAAGAGGAGAAGAATCCTATGAGCGTGTAATATTCTTAGAATATTATATGAATTTTATTAAACATTAAAGTAATACTCTTATAAGATCTTAAGAATATTATATCGTATTTTTTTAATATTATAGAAATATTCTGTTGATTTTATATGTCCACTTCACGTAGTATTCTTTACATATTAAAAAATGTTCTTAGAACGTTAAAAAAAATAAAATAATAACAATATAGAAAAATATATATAAATAAAATGTACACATATATGTACAACTTTTTTTAGTAAAAAACGTATTTTTATACAAAATTATTTCGACTTTATTTATATAATAAAACAATTGGTGTTACAATATATCTGAAATAAAAAAACTACAATTAACGACTACAATTTACAAAATAAAAAAACTACAAAAAAAAACTACAATTATATATATGATGACATAGAGTTGAATATTTAAGAAATATATAATATTACAATAATATTAACCCTTTTAGTGCCGGGAGCCGATATATCGGCTCCTGCTACACCGGCGAGAAGTGCCAGAGCCGATATATCGGCCCGCACTTTGTAGCGCTTTACTATTCGCATTGTGAGAGATCTCTATCAAAATAAATTTAAAATACGTTATAAATAGTCTAATTTCATTACGAGAGAATTAAAATAAATAATTTTTAAATATTGCTTTTCGTTTGGTTTTTATGAGCCTTTTACCAAATCCTAGTAAAATCGGCCGGTTATCTTCGCATAAGCACCTCTTTTTCGCCCGGCACTAAAAGGGTTAAATAATATTGTTGTAATATATTAAATAATATTAAATAATATTATTGTTTTAATATGATTAAAGGTGGATATATAACCATCTATTAATATTCCAGAAAAATTACTTAATATTAAATAATATTACTAGAATATTATTAGAATGTTATGTCTAATAATCTCAGAATATGCACAGAATATTACTTAATATTAAATAATATTACGCGCTTATAGGGAAGAGTGAATTCTCTACTCTGGATCGTGTCGAGTGAACATTTTCACTGAAAATTAAAGAATAAATTTAATATATTCAACTGTGAAAGGAAACAATTTACTTCAATCGAGTGAAATATTCACTCATAAAGTGACTTTCACTCACTTTAATGACCATCGGTATGAATCAACAACATGAAAATAGCTGATCAACTCCGCGACTTTAATCCAGTTCAATATGAAATCAGATCGAAAATACAAAAACACCGAGTTTGAAATTCCTCGCAAAAACACGTGTCACTTACTCTGGCCACATGCGACGAATGCTGAACTGATGAAACGTTAAAACAATGATCTCGTCCGGATGACCGACGAATGTGTAGAGAAGGCAATCGATGTTCGATGGGTATCGTCTGGGAAAGTCTGGGGATGTGAAAATGCCACCTTGAGGCCTGTCCGAGCTGCTGTACACAACGCAAGAACAACCTGCAAAAAGAAGAAGAGTGTCACGTGTACAGTTCGTATTCGCAACAAATCCAGAAAGTTCGGCGAAATACGCAATGTACGCGGGGGAGCATAGCCGGGGGTGGCGTAAAGTTTCGATAATATTGGACGGCCCGAGTCTTATCTGTGATCGACAACTGCGAGCTTTCCCAGAAGCGCGCAACGTGTCTCGTCCCCCGAATGATTTTAATGTAGAGATATCGGGCCTCGCCGATAATGAAATTCACCATCTGACACTGGTTCCACTACAGTGACGAGAGAGGGACGCGGACACGAGAAAAGTTTCCTTATTTCCAAAATGAAGTCGTCGGCCCGGGTATCTAACATCGTTTGTCCTTGTCGCGCCCGTCTCTTTCTCTCTGATGTCAAACTCAAAGAATTAAATTAAAGTTTGACCTTTTGAAGAAAAAGAGGGAGACAGAGAGAGACAGATAGAGATAGATAGAGAGAAAGGGAGGGAGAGAGAGGGAGAGAGAAGGGGAGGAAGAAGGATTTCGCACGGAACACATGATGACTGCACACAGTGAGCGTCACGCGGCCGACAAACAACGAATTGTCCGCGGGCGGTCAAAAACGGGCGATTAATAATCGTTAACGAGAGCATCGCGGCCGTTCCCGCGGGATTCATTTGCGCGTGGCCCACGCCGACGCGTGGGCGCGATATAGAAATGATGCGACATAAATTTACTCCCCATCCCATTTCCCCGCTCCCTACCGCTTCGCAATCGTATCCAGCGGATCAGACGGCGAATGATTAAGCAAGTCGATAATTTATAGAGGAGAGCCGTTGTTTCGCGAAAGCTGACCGAACGCGCGCGCGCGGGGGCGAGGGGGCTTCTATTATCCCGGGGAGCTTCGTGGCTCTGTGGGAATAGCGAAAATTTAATTTCCTGTTTTTCAATTAACTTTTACGTTAGCCACGCCACGGAGCGAATCCCTCTCTCCCTCTCTCTCTCTCTCTCGTTGACCGGGTGGACACACGCGCGCTCGCGGGAGAATGCAAAGACCCGTCGTATCTATGGTTAAATAATGGCGCGACACTTGAGTTATACCGGCCGGTATACAAAAGCACGAACCAGTTCTCGACCAGTTTTATGCTTTGGAGACCCCATTGTATCCCGTAACTCTGCGTAATGCGAAGGGAGTGATTCTTTCTCTCCCCTCCTCTCTTCTCTCTCCTCGCTCTATGTGTTTTCTTTTTCTCTTCGGTTTTTCTTTTTTTTTCGTTTTCTCTCGTCTTCTTTTTTCTGTTCCATTCCGCAGCGGTACGTATACCAGGGTGTGTAATATACCGGTTTATTGTACGCCCATTGTTGTAGAAAATAAAGGCGATTCGGCGTGTAGGGCCGCCTGCGTGCAGTAAGAAGTTGAAATTCGACCGCGGTGCAAATGCCGCGAAGCTCTCGGCGCTCGTAAAGCGCGGGAAAGAACGAGAGGGGATAAGGGGAAAAGGGACCTTCCGCAATCTCCGAAGGAAGAATAACGCGCGGAGCTCGACGAAAATCGCGGTGAACCTCCGGCATTATAAGTTTTAGATCGCACGAGGCGATAAAGGGGGAGGGGGGAGAGAGAGAGAGAAAGAATAGGACGGGATTGTTAATAGCCTGTTACGAAAGGGAAGAATCGCTCCTGCGCGATTCCCGCGCTTCAAACCAGTGAAATAATTCCGGTATTAAAGGAAGAAACACACCAAAACCGACGTACCATTTTGTTTTTTTAATTCTAAAGCCCTATTGAAGATGTAAAATTTAAATTTATATGCACGAATGTAGACACCAACAACATTTCTCTACCAAGATATATAATAGTCTTAATTATTAAATTATTAAATATTTCCTCGTAACTGTTTTTCAAGATGTTCGAAAATTGACGCTTCTAGAAATTAGACTCCAAAGTCGACGTACCCATAATATATGATATATAGGACGTTATAAAAAAAATAAAGTATCTGAAATAAGTAAATAAAAATACTGTAATTACATTATTTTGTATATATATTATATGTCCTTACATGTTATCTTTAATTTTATATATTTTTTAAAACTTTAACAATTTTACGATGTACATTGCTACTTTATCATACGAAAAGGAATCCTCTAACTTTTTCTTTTCAATCATCTTAAACAAACTATAAACAATCTATAAAACAATCTATAAAAAATGAGTTACAATAAGAGCAGCCTGAAAGTAGCTTATATTCGTTACCGTTACAATTGCTATCGAAGAAAATTGGCGCCGTTACCAAGTCGTTACCGGAAAAACGTAACTTGTAAAAACGTAACCTGTAAAGGTAACACGTTACTTGTAACGCGTTACTTCCCAACTCCTTACTTCATGTAAGCGGCAAATTCCACTTCAGTTGCTCTTCAGTGCTCCAATTACTGCACACACAGCGGACGAAATTCACGTACCGTCCGGCGGAGTTCGCCGCTTCACAGCTGAGAAACGCGGGTATGTCGGTTTACCGTACCCATGTCGATTTTTCTCCACATCCTCACCGGGCTATTCGCGCTCCGCGCGGTGCGAGATCGCGGTTAATGGCGATGGAAATGCGAATCATCACGGTGGCTGTTTAACGCGCGCGAATACAATCATTTATCCAAGATAATATCACCGTCTCCCTCGCCACCCTCCCGATTCATCTCTGTCGCTGCGCGCGCGAGCGCTTCGCAATGATTATTCCGGCTGAAGCGATCCATTAGCGAGCATTCGTTCGGCACGGCAGGACTAATACAAACAAAGTAATTTATAAGGATGCAATTAATCAGCCTTTCGAGAAAAAGCGAGTCACGAGGAGGAGGAAAAGAAGGGGGGGGGGGAGGAGGAGTCTGCGCGGCAACGCAAGGACACACCGAGTTCCGCGACGAACTAATAGCCCCGCGAGCCGCAAGTTAGAGAGATCTTTAGTAAATTAGCAAAAACTACGTGTTCTTTATGTCTTTCCCCGGTCTTCCGCGCTCCATCTTTCTTCGCTTAACGACGGTAACCACTTTCTCACATTTTTTCCGCTCGTGCTTCGTCGGCCGAACTTCTTCCTCCTCTTTCTTTCCGCTTGCCTTCGTTCTCGTTACATTTTTCGTAGACCCGGCTACGCGTGTATCGCGGCACAAAGGGTTTCTATATGTATAAGGGTGGACGAGCGGAGGACACGATTCGCCCGTCGCGTGAAACGTAGCGCCGACACTCAGGCTTGTTTGTCCCGGCTTATAAGATACACCGCAATTTTCCAGCGTCTCCTCCTCACTGACCGGCCATTCGTATCGCCTGCATAATGATAAAAGCGTTTGAGTCCCCCGATGTGTAAGAAATGTGACGCATGGAAAGACGTAAGCAGCAAAAACCGAAGACCACAAAGAAATTTCAACGATTTTCCCAGATACGGCATAGATTCCGGTTGGAATATCCAAGGTTGTCTTAAAATAAGTTATATAATTACGATACCGAACTGGGAATATCATTTTTATGTTAGCAAACTTGCTTCATGCCGCGTGCGATTGTCAGCGTTAGAGAGTGACAGTTTGACCGAGTATCAAATCAGGAAGCCGGGAGAAAAAGATTATATACGTCTACAACGAAAAAATACTGTTGTTCACAAATTATATCGCAAATACAATCGAACTAAACGCTCCTGGCTACTTGTGCTTTCGACGGCACAGGATATCGACATTTAATTAAATAACGTACGAGTAATATCATTTTTTTTTCGTATGGACATATATGATAATATATGAAACCATATATATGGTTTCAAAATTCATATATGATTTTATATAATTATATATAATTATATATAATCATTTTTTTCCCGGAGATGGGAAAAAATTGTACGACGCATCCCCGATGAATAAACATCGATGTTTCAAATAATGGATAATTTTGCTCGTTCTTAATGCATATTGACAGCTCGCAGAAAGCCCCGCGAAGATTTGTCCTCTTCTTCCGAACGTTTCAAGTGGGCCATAATCAACTTCCAGCGAACTAAGCGAGCGCTTATGTTAAACTTAGGATACTTTTCCACGCAGCTTATTGAACAGTTGAACGTATACTTGCCGAAAACTTGATTTTCGACTGAGAACACTTAAAATGTTTCATATATTTGGTCAAATCATTGGGTAAAACGGAAAGTAACAAAAATCTTTAGAAAAATGTTGGGGGTGACTAAATAGGATCTGTTTATGTTTTCCATTTAAAAACGTATGTTTGAAATTAGTCTACTACTTCTAGCCAGAACCTTCTAACCAGAAAGTGTAGCTCTCCCAACTGGAATCCGTAAATATTTCGAAAAGTCGAACTGGATGTTGAATTAAATGCCAAGAAATTTTCTATACCGAGGGAGATTCTTCTACGTCTATCGCAAAATCATCTGCGATCAGTCGTAATGCGTCTCGACGATAATCGCGGACTCATAAGCTTGTCTGGAGCGGCAACAGCCAATCAGAAGCGTCAGTGGCGTAGAAAGTTGTACCACTGAATGGCTGTTGCCACTTCAGACAAGTTTACGCCAAGAGTTTGCGATCGCCGTCGCAGCGAATGTCGTAATTGACATTGCGATGGATGTAGAGAGAGCCTTGAAGCAGTAAACCAAGCATTGACCAATCGTATTCGAGGATTATCGAGAACGTAATACTATCATGTTGAAATTCTCGACTCTGATTGGTCAATTCGCTCGCAATTTAACAAGGGAAAACCGCAACCAACCCAAACTCTTAATCAAATCAAATAACGGTATGCTTTATTCTTGCTCCATCGCGCTTTAACGCTTAAACTGCAATGTGTGACAGTCTTAATGGCTGGAAAGTGGAAACAGCTTTATAAATTATTTATAGAGATATTGAATATAAAAACAATAAAACATCGTTTGTATAATACATATTAATGTAAAAAAATAAGATTAATATTATATATTTATTATAAAATGATTAACACATATTATAAAATGACATTATTATAAAATGATTAACATATACATCTTACATGTATTT